AGCTTTGCACCTCACTCGTCCCTCCGGCACCCCGCTTCTTCCAAAGGTGCTGAGTTTCCTTCGGTAAATAAACCTTCAAATGGCTCTTTTATTTTTATTTTTCCTCCTTTTTTGTCCCCACCACTGCCAAAACAAGCAGCCCATATGGGCCAGGGTTGGGTGGGTTTTTTTTGCAGTTTCCATGGGGATTTGGCGCTGGAGCTGCTGGGTGCCAGCTCCCTGGGTTTTTTTTTTCCTCTGGTCCCCGTAACCGGAGCCCAGCAGTGGCACCAGGCTCCCTGCCCAGCCCCGGCATCTCCTGGCCAAGGTCACCGGGGAGACCGTAGGCAGGCGGCCGCCTGTGTTGGGCCATCTGTTAAATAATGTATGCAATAAACTCCTGTGCCCTGTGGCTAGCTTAATCCTTAAATCCTCCTTCAGAATATCATCTCCTGGCAATGCATGGCTGGGGGATCCCCAGCTCGGCCTCTTGGGCACATCTTTCCCCACCATCCATCCTGCCACCCTCTCTTCTCACCCCTCCATCCCGCATCCTCCCCGTATCCCGCATCCTCCCCGTAAGTGAGCTCGCTGGCGTGCCGGGCTCTCCTGCTCCATTATTTATGTGCCGTGCATGAAAGATGCATATAAAAGAGCGGTTTATAATTTAACAGAATCTCCTCTTCTTTCAGCCTCCCTTCCCCCTCAGGCTTCAAGCTTTCTCTGGTTCACCCCCCGGCTTCTCCCAGGTGTTGAGGGGGTTTGGGAGGCTCCTGGGGCCTGCGTGGACCCCATCCCCCTGAGCACCCCACCTGGTCCATGAGGGTTTCAGGGGGGGACTGGGTGCTCAGAGGGTTTTTTGCTGCATGGGAGAAAGTGGGCAATTGGGTCTGGCAGACCCATAGATCAGGTTTTCATGCAAAACAGGGGCTTTTTGGTAAACCTAATTAACCAAGCGCCCAATCCAGCCCCTGGTTATGTGTCTTATGAGCTGCCCAGCACTGCCTCCTTGCAGATGTGGGATGCTCTGCTCCTCCGTGGGCCACATCTGCTTTCCCCAAAGCCATGGGCTTGCACCTAGATGTTGGTTGGGGCAAAAACCCAACCTCCTGCAGGCCCGTCTCATGCTTTGCAGGTGCATCAGGTCACCCAGAAGAGAAATCCTGGGGCCAAAGGGTTGGTGGTGTCCACTGAGTCCAGCCAACGTGGCTGCAACCTCGGAGCTGAACCCACTGGGAAAAATACTGAAATAAATGGGGATTTTTGAAGGGAGCAAATCTCCCTGTCCCTTCCTGGACCTATGAGAGCCTATGTGGGTTAAAATCAGAGAAATAAGTAGCAAAGGCGATGGGGAGGGGAGCGCCGTGCGGCCTCTTGCTGCCTTGGCACCCTGAAAAGGGGGTGTTTGGGCAGCACTATCACCCAGCCCCACCCCGGATTAATCAATCTGTCCTCCCGCCCCATCCCTGTACAAAGCAATGCCAGCCCAGCTCGGCACCATGCTGCTTTTATTGCAATATATTATTTTCTTTGCAATAAAACTCCGTCCCCGGGACCCATTTACCCTGCCGTGATTATATTTTTATTCCCCCGGCACAAAGGTTTGCTTGCGTCCTCGGTTGTGCAGGTGGGAGCAATAACAGTTCTTGTTCACGCCGCCCCGCTCCCGGGCAATGATTAACGATGGCGCTCGCACGGAATCGGCCGGGATTTGGGGTTTGGTGGGGAGGGAGGGAGGCGACACTGGGATGAAAATCCCTATTTCCCACAGGATTCCCCACCAGCAAAAAGGATTGATGCCTTTTTAGGTCCCTGTCCCCACCCCCAGCAGCTGCTTTCAGGACCTCACATTGAATTTCCCCATGAAATTTGTGCCACGGAGGCGTTTTCCAATCAAACAAACAAAAAAAATCCCATAAATAAATATTAATTATAATTAATTATTCAGGGCACAGCATGCCCTGGTCACAGGGTGTCTGTGCCAGAGAGGGGTGAGGTTTTCCTTGTTTTTTTTGGGTATTATTTAGGTGGATGGGGAGGGATGCTCGCGGCGCTGGGCCCCGGCAGCACGCGGGAAAGCACGGCAGATGCGCATTCTTTTTTTTTTTTTTTTTCCCATTTTGTTTCATTTTCCTTTTTATTTGGACATTGCAGAAATAGCCCTGTGTAGTGGATAAAAGTGCAACATACACAATATTTAAGAAAAGGAGGAAAGAAAACCTGCCTTGAGGTCTGTCAGTCAGAGTCGCAAACAGAAACAAGAAACCAAGCCCTCGCACAAGAGGCGCTTTTTTTTTCCCCTTTTTTTTTTTTATGCACGTCATGCAAAATAGTTAAAAAGAAAGATTAGAAAAGAGAAGTCAAAGAAAACCCCACGAGAGATCGACTGAGGCCTAGAAAGAGCGGAAAGCCCCGAGTGCTTCCTGACTCGGGGAGGGAATCGCTGCCCTCCGGCATCTCCAAGTGTTTGGCACTCTTGTGATTACATTAGATATTTTTTTTATATATATATTTTTTTAATACAGTCTATTAAAGAGAGGAAACTGCCACAATATAAGAAAAAAAAAAAAACAAGATCACCCACACTACAGACTGCATGGTAGTTAGAAAAGCTGAGCATCCCCCCTCC